ACCTGGGTTGGTTTTTGGAGTTCTAATAAATGTACCTCTTATCTTCTCTGCAAATATGGTCACTATAGTAACTGTGCATTCTCAAAAAATCCACCTAAACACCCGACTTCCGAGAGCCATATTTCAGTTCTGAAGAGCGAATTTTACTGCCTCTGCGTGCAGATTTGTAGTAGGAAATCGATTCGGCACTGTTGTGATCCACTTCTTCTAGTTACACRGCCAATCTCTTGGCTGCACCATTTAAATTGACCCCATCGCTGTCGTAAAACTTGATACTGCAGTGCGTAGCCCGAGGACAAAAGGCAACATGATGCCGCTCCACACATCAGATTCTGAGGATTAGGGTGCCATTTTTGATTTTAGATGACTTCCAGTCTTCTGTGTGACACGGTCGTGTTTCTTCCTCAGGCTGTGTTGCTGTGACCCCTCGGCGGGATCAACCAGTAAATATTATAGTCTGGTCAGTTTCCTTTCACTGTTCAGTTCCATCGTCTTCATCTCTGAGATTAATGTGGTGACGAGGAGGAGAAGTACTGCCGGCCACACACAGCTGTGCCGGCTGAGGCACCCCAGCAGGCAGGCTGCCTGTTAGATGCCCGCTYGCTTTCAGTGATGCAGGAAAAAAGGACACATTTGGATGCTCCGGGTGCTGACCAAGTTTGCAGGGAAAATCTAAGGCCTGGATTAAAGCTGTTATTTGATTATCAAATGTATCAAGAGTTTGGCATGAAGTTGTTCAGATAAAGCTCAAAAATGGATCTAGAAAGGTTTTGTTTTGGTACCAGGGATTGAACCCAGGGATTCTTAACCACTGAGCCACATCCCCAGCCCTTTTTAAAAAGGTATTTTATTTAGAAACAGGGTCTTGCTCAGTTGCTTAGGGCCTTGCTAAATTGCTGAGGCGGACTTTGAACTTGTGATCCTCCTGCCTCAGCACCGAGCTGCTGGGGTTACAGGCGTGGGCCACTGTGCCCAGCTAAGATTTTTGTGTTTTCTTATTGAGCTTTAACTCAGGGCAGGATTGGTTCTGCTTTTATAGCAGAGTTCCCAACCATGGCCCCATCAACATTTGGGGCCTAATAACTCTTTGTGGGGAGGGATGGTCCTTGTGCATGTTAGGATGGTTGGCAGGATCCCTCGGCTCTGCCTGCTAGAGGCCTTTAACCCCATTTGTAGCCGGAGATGTTCTAACTTTCAGTCCAGTTAAAAAGCCTGAAGTTTAGAAGCTGAGTTATGGAGATGGGCCTGTCTCTGTGGTAGTAGTTTTATAAGCAGAGCGTGAGACTGAGGTTTGACACCGTGGAGAACCAGTTACACACCTGACACATACCCATGGTGCTGTTCTGTCCCTTATTAACAGCACAGAGCCAGATGCAGCCTCTTTTCTCATGGCACCTAAACCTTTTCCTGTGGTGCTAGGGATTGAACCCAGGACCTGGTGCATGCCAGGAGGTGTCCTACCACTGATCTACACCCCGGTCCAGCATCTAGCATTTTTTTGTTTCTTTTTAAATTTTATTTTTGGTACCAGGGATTGAACCCAGGAGTGCTTACCACTGAGCTACAACTTCAGCCCTTTTTATTTATTGAGACAGGGTCTTTAACTCAGGGTAGGATTGGTTCTGCTTTTATAGCAGAGTACCCAACCATGGCCCCCCATCAGCACATTGCTTAGGGCCTTGCTAAGTTGCTGAGGCTGGCCTCGAACTTGTGATCCTCCTTCCTCAGCCTCCAGAGTTGCTGAGATGACAGGCATGTGCCACACTGTACCAGGCCCAGCACCTAAAATCTTGAAACCGTAAGATAGTGAGTAGAAGTGTTTTCCCCATTCAGTGGCTTGTCTCCTGGAACTCAGAGGCCTAATGGTGGCTCAGTGGATGGAGTCCCCCTCGGTGTCCTTCTCGTGTGAGGATGAGTTCAGCACGTTTCACTGCCCCAGCTTCTAGAATATTCTGTGTATTCACCCCATCCAGTGGATTCATGTGTGTTCACTCAGTGCCTCCCTCTCTCCCTGAGCTCTGGCGGGAACAGAACTGKGCTTGTTTTATTTCTCCTTCATTTTAACTCCTGGCATGTTAACCCCCAGGATGGCCACCTGCCCACTTGAAGGAAGTGTGTCCACTGTGGTGYGGCTTGTCCACCAGCCTGGCTATGTCCACTTGAGAGCAGAGGCCCATCTTGGGGCAAGGAGACAGTACACAGATCCCACCCATGCTCCCGCTTTCTGCCTCCTCCCTGCCCAGGGCTGTCTGGAGGACAGGCGGGACCCTGCTGCCCACGGACAGGCGTGCTCAGTCTGTGGGGAAGCCCCAGCCACTGATGCCTGACTGGAGCGTGGGGACCATGTTGGACAGTGTTCCCAAACCTTTTAGGTGTGGCCTCGATGTTAGCATCTGGACCATTGTAGACAATATATTGGGACAGAGTCTTTGGCCTGGTCAGAGCTCAGGTGGGAATCGAGAGTTGTGCAGGTACCCAAAGGCTGGCACCTTGCTTTTTATTTTCCTAATCTTCAGGTCAGAAGGTCTCCATACAGTGGACAAAAACCAAGTAAAGCAAACTAGTTCTGGTCACTTTGCTGGTATCCTGGAAGCTCTAGGCTTTAAAACACAACTAAAATCTGATCTCAGGGGAGCTGGAAGTTCCAGTGTGCGAGACAGAGGCTGGTGGTAGAGCTGATTTGATTTTCACTGAACAGCAGGTCTGGGTAAGCACGTGAGGCTCTGAGTCTTAGAATTGTACCAGGTCGAGGAGGGCAGTGGGGGAGGTCCCCTGTGTTTCAGTTCCTACAGATGCTCCCCATGCTGTCCTCCAGGGGTTGCTTCCCAGTTTGGACTGACGGACGGGGTGGAAGTTCTCAGCTTGGCCCTCTGCCTCCCTGTGTGAGCTCAGTAGCACCTCATTTAGGCTCTCAGCACAAGGTTACTGCAGGTGACTTAGGCTTACARCCAACTTAAAGTGACTTGCCCAAGGTCACACAGCTGGTGATAAAAATCAACCTGTAAAGAGTTTGATAACCCCTCAGGGTTGACTCTACCCAAGGTCTCAGCCTGGTAGCAACAAGTGCAAGAGGCCCTCCAGGGCCCGGTGTGGTAGCACACACCTGTGATCTCAGCAACTCAGGAGGCTGAGGCAGGAGGATCACAAGTTCATGGCCAGCCTGGGCAACTCAGGATGTTAACCCCCAGGATGGCCACCAAAATAAAAATTGAAGATGCCTGGGGAAGTAGCTCMGTGGTGGAGCACCCCTGGGTTCAGTCCCTAGTAACACCACCACCAMCAACAACAACAACAATGAAAGGGTCCTTTTGAATATTTTTGTTTTTATTGCCATTACTTTTCAGATATTCAGGTCCMAAGTTTATATTGCTGTTGGTGAGGAGAGGGATTCACACTTTTAGAAAACCCGTTGAAGAAGCTCTCTGAGACTGTAAGTGCCTTGATTTAACAAGTGTTGTCTTTTTGTCCAGGTGCACTTAGAACTACCTCCCAGCTCCTTCACGGTGCAGACCCAAGAAGACTTCGACCTGCTGAAATCCAGCAACATGAGAAGATACGAAGTCCTCCAGGAGATCCTCTTGGCCCTGGGTGTCAGCTGTGACCTGCGAGAAGCTCCTGCCTTAACGCCCCTGTACCTGCTGTTGGCTTCGGAGGTGAGCACCTCATACTCCGCTCTGTGGCTGTTCCCATTGGCTTTGGTGTTGATTTTTATCATGATTTTCCATTTCTGCTTTGACTTTGAGTTTAGGAACCCTCTTACTGATGTGCGGGTGTCTCTGACTTGTTTTGGTGTGCGTAGGTMAGGGAGGTGGAGAAGACTGGAATTCAGGAGGTGTCAGGTCTGYAAGTTATGACCCTTTTTAGGGGGAGGATCCCTGTTGTGTGTGTCGAGAGTGAACAGTGCCCCTCCACATCTGTGGGCTCTGCGTCTGAGGGTGTAGCCAGCCAACTTCAAAAAACAGTGGAGAAATTAATTGTCTCTACTGAGCACGTGCAGGCTTCTCTCCTGTCCTCACTCCCTAGACAACACAGTGTGATACTACTCACACAGCACTCACGTTGTGGGAGGTGTGCAGGTCATCTGGAGTTCATTTAGGGGATTCAGAGGATGTGTGTAGGTTAACTGCAAATGCTCTGCCCTTTGCTATGAGGGACCTGGGCACCTGTGGACCTCAGTGTGCATTGGAAGGCAGTGCTGGACCCAGTCCCCCATGGATCCCAAGGGATGGCTACATTTGGGAACCATAATTGTTAGGGATCAAAACGAGTTATTTTGTTCCGCGTATCTTTGGATGAGGAAGTCCCAGCTTCCCTGTGTTGTGCAGACGTCTGCCATCTTGTGGCAGAAGTGCTCTGGATCTCCATCCCTGTCACTTGTGTCTAGAAGGAAAATGCCCTGAGCTGGGGATGTGTTTGGGGATTCTCTGGCCTCGGGTCTGCATTTGCTCCCTGTTGTTGAAACCGGGTTTCGGGCAGGCCGCCAAATTCTACAGGTGTGTGTTCCTGCTAATCTCCTCACGTGGCCCTGTCTGTTTCTTATTCCTAGTGACAATCTGATTATCTTGGGGGTGTCTCTCCATTGTCTCCCCTTAACAGGGGGATCTGAGTTTAGTGATGTGACCATATAGCTTCAGAAAATACCCTGCTGCCCAGGTGACGTACACACCGGGTTCACCTGCCCTCCCTTGAGAGGAACAAAACATATCCTTCGCCCCAACAGAGGGGCTAGAGAGGGCACTGTCTTCCTGACCGCTCGGGTCCTTGGCAAGCTGAATTTACAGAGGGATGCCATCTGCTCCTTGGAGAAGACAGATGTCAAACCCGAGAGCTGCCTCGCAGGATTCCCTGAGGACAGAGTGAAATAATATCTGTGTGAATTATTATTAAATAACAGCTTATTATAATAATAAAATATCATAATAACAATTTATTTTAATAAAATATAATTATGTACTATATGATTGTATATAATATACATTACCTATGATAGAAAGAATTATTATTTCAATAACAATGTAATAATGATTATTATAGGTCTTTGGGAGGTTGAATGAGTTAAAGTTTAGAATGTGYTTGACCAGTGCCTGGCACCTAGTCTAGAAAAACCAAAGGTAATGTGTTTAATTTTAAAAATTAATAGTACAGCAATGAGGGCTGGGGTTGTGGCTCAGTGGAGGAGCGCTTGTCTGCATATGTGAGGCCCTGGGTTCAGTTCTCAGYACTGCATATAAATAAATAAGGGTCCATTGACAACTAAAATAATATTTTTTAAAATGCAGCAAGGGATTGTTTCTTGTTTAAGAAACATGCTCTTGCTGTGTTTTCCTCACCCAGCTCCTGACAGCTTGCCCTGCTCCTGATGCATGCCTGGGGAGTTATGATGGGGCTTTTGTTTGTACCTTCATCTCAGGAACTCAGAATTCCCTGTCTTTCATCTGTTTCATGCATTCAGATTCATTCGTACAGAAACACCACAATAAAGCCATCTGCGGCATTTCAGGTCCTGTAGACAAGCCCCTTGGAGGAGGGGTGGGGCCCTGTGGGTGAGGACTGCGGGTCCTGGGGGAGTGTGACGTCATGGTCTGGAGCTTCTCTCTCCTTTCCTGAGCTGGACTGGACTGGGAGGGAGTGCCTGTCTGCTCCAGGGCTCCCCCCACGTGGACCAGACTGGCCCTTCGTAGTGCTGCCTCACCTTTCCTGGGAGCTCTGACCATGGTGGACTCGGGACTGGGACCCTGGGACTCTTGGACTGAGAACAGAGARGAAAGAGTGGCCTGTGAGCAGACTTTTGGAACACTGGTCTTTTCTGGTATATTCTTTTTTTTTTTTTTAAGTTGTATGTGGACACAATACCTTTATTTTATTTTTATGTGGTGCTGAGGATTAAACCCGGTGCCCCACGCATGCTAGGCGAGTGCTCTATCTTTGAGCCACAACCTCAGCCCATTCTGGTATATTCTTTAGGGTGGGCATAACGGAAATACCCAAGCTAAAACTTTGTGTTATGCGTCTACTTACCTTAAAACATATTTTTGTCCTTCCAGTTATTTAAACTGTCTGGGGCAGCAGGTGTGGGAGAAAGTTTTCCCCTATTATTGATCAATTGGGGGAATATTRATTCACCCTTCATAAACTAGGCGAGGCTGGTTAAAGCAAGCGTTTGCTCTGTGGACACACAAAT